TTACGCCATTCTCCTGCCTCAGCCTCCGGAGTAGCTGGGACTACAGGCGCCCACCACCTCGCCCGGCTAGTTTTTTGTATTTTTTTTAGTAGAGACGGGGTTTCACCGTGTTAGCCAGGATGGTCTCGGCCTCTCAAAGTGCTGGGATTACAGGCTTGAGCCACCGCGCGCGGCCTAAGGTTTCTTTATTTAATTCTTTTTTGTTTTTGAGACAGGGTCTCTGTCATTCAGGCTGGAGTGCGGTGGCGTGATCTTGGCTCACTGCAACCTCTGCCTCCTATGCTCGAGTAGTCCTCCTGCCTCAGCCTCCCAAGTAGCTGGGACTACAGGCGCATACCACTATGCTTGGCTGATTTTTGTATTTTTTGTAGGAACATGGTTTCACCCTGTTGCCCAGGGTGGTCTCGCACATCTGGGCTCAAGCTAGGTGTGAGCCACCGTGCCCAGCCTTATTTCTTTAATAAAAGAACTACTAAACCTTATTTTTCTTTTTCTTTCTTTCTTTTTTTTTTTTTTTTTTTGAGACGGAGTTTTGCTCTTGTTGCCCAGGCTGGAGTGCAGTGGTGCTATCTGGACTCACCACAACCTCCGCCTCCTGAGTTCAAGTGATTCTCTGTTTTGGCCTCCCGAGTAGCTGGGATTACAGGCATGTACCACCACACCCGGCTAATTTTTTATTTTTAATAGAGACAGGGTTTCTCCATGTTAGTCAGGCTGGTCTCACATTCCCGACCTCAGGTGATCCACCCGCCTCGGCCTCCCAAAGTGCTGGGATTACGGGCGTGAGCCACCATGCCCAGCCTAAACCTTATTTTTCTACTCAGTATTTATTTTTCATTAGCAACATTATGGTCATTTTTGAAATATAGTACAATATAGCCTCTGACTTTATGTGTCACAACAAGCTTTAAGACCTACATAAATTTTGCCATTAAAATTTTGAAATTAATGAAGGGTATTTATGGTGATAGGTAGAATTGATACCCACCATAAGAATATTTTATTGTTAATTGCCTTACTATCTATGCAGATAGGCCATGGTAAAAATTTTTACAAATGAGTATCTTTATTTTTACATCATTGCAAAATCTTTGCCTCATTGCAACAAGGTGTTGTGATTAGGAAAAATATAGGATAGTATCAATCCAGAGACATTTATGTTGGTGACATAATCGCAAGTGGTAATGACTTCACATAATTTGTTGTGTTATTTTTTGGCATACTTTTGTTTCTGAAATAGATGTAATACAGTTTCTACATTTGAATATGACACCTGAGTTTGAGGGTATGACTATATTTGACCTGGCAGTGGTATAACCTAGTTATTTTGAGGTAGCATTGACTATAGATTTCACAGTTTTTTGAACTTCAAAAAATGGAAATTTAAAATTATTTGGATTTGTGACTGTTATGTCACCAAATCTCATTCTTTTGGAGAATTTTGGGCTTGCTCAAAAGTTGGTTAAAATAATTTGAAAATTACTTAAAAACAATATTGATGAACTTTTGATAAGGCTCAGATGAGCATGATATTATATAGACTGTCTATGCTGAATCTTCTAATCTTGTCTTTTTTCTTCCTATCTTTTTCCAATCTCTTGCTTTCTTCTCTCCCACTTAAAAAAATCTCAAAACAAAAAATTTATCTCCTTTCTTTACATCTGAAAATCTGTAGGATGGACATGTAGAGGTGGCACGTTTGCTTTTGGATAGTGGTGCTCAAGTGAACATGCCTGCAGATTCATTTGAATCTCCATTGACGCTAGCCGCCTGTGGAGGACATGTTGAATTGGCAGCTCTACTTATTGAAAGGGGAGCAAATCTTGAAGAAGTTAATGATGAAGGTTACACTCCCTTGATGGAAGCTGCCCGGGAAGGACATGAAGAAATGGTGGCACTACTTTTAGCACAAGGTAAAGCAATTTTACTTTTTTTTTTTTTTTTTTGAATCTCGCTCGGTCGCCCGGGCTGGAGTGCAGGGCTGGAGTGCAGTGGCGGGATCTCAGCTCACTGCAAGCTCCGCCTCCCGGGTTTACGCCATTCTCCTACCTCAGCTTCCCGAGTAGCTGGGACTACAGGCGCCCGCCACCTCGCTGGGCTAGTTTTTTGTATTTTTTAGTAGAGACGGGGTTTCACCGTGTTAGCCAGGATGGTCTGGATCTCCTGACCTCGTGATCCGCCCGTCTCGGCCTCCCAAAGTGCTGGGACTACAGGCTTGAACCACCGCGCCCGGCCGCAGTTTTACTTCTTTTAGAAAAATCAGTTTTCTTTGGATGTTTTGTGTTAGTACTGGTGAAGTTTACTACAACTAGCATGCATATATATATATATTGCATTGATGATAAATTCTGAACACCCTTGAGGAAACCACAGAAGCAGAGAAGACAGATGATTATCACAATTCAGAAAAATAATATCTTTATTGTAAGTCTCTTACAACTAGTTTTATCTGTTTTTATACTTTCTTAGGAGCAAATATAAATGCCCAGACAGAAGAAACTCAAGAAACTGCTCTTACTTTGGCTTGCTGTGGAGGATTTTCTGAAGTTGCAGACTTTCTTATTAAGGCAGGGGCTGATATAGAGCTTGGCTGCTCCACACCTCTGATGGAGGCATCTCAGGAGGGACACCTGGAATTGGTTAAATATTTGCTGGCTTCTGGTATGTGGCTTTAAAATGCCTTATTGCACAGAAAGACAAATACAAATAATAGTTTATTTATATGTGGAATCTAAAAACATTGAGCTCATAGTAGATAACAGAATGGTGGTTACCAGAGTGTGGGGATGAAGGTGGGAGGAGGGTACACAAGGAGAGGGGAAATGTTGATCAAAGGGTGCAAAGTTTCACTTAGATAGGTGGAATAAGTTTTAATGATATATTGCATAGCAAGGTGACTATAGTTAACAATAATGTATATTTCAAAATTGCTAAGAGATTTAAATGTTCTCACCACAAGTATGTGAGGTGATGAATATGTTAATCATGCTTGATCTAATCATTCCACAACATATACATATAACATCACATTGTACCCCATAAATATATACAATTATTATTTGTCAATTAAAAATAAAATAAAATTAAATAATTAAAAATACCATTTAGAAAAAGACTTATATTGCTTTGTTAACTTTAACAATTAACTGTTAACTTTTTCATTTCTATAAAAGTTGAAAGACAGCTCCATAATTTAATTGATCTTAGACTCCTAAATCTCTAAAACTCATTTTTAAAAAGATTTCATACTGTTATTAATGTTTGTGTAGTGACCATAAGGTATCTCATTCACCTTCTTTCTCCCTCTAATTGTTTGTGGCTTGTTGAAGGGAGATGTTAGTTTCTCCTAGTCTCTGTTAAGAAGAGGTGAGGATGATGACATATTGAGGGTATAATTTGGTACCTTTAAGTCTGTTCATTTCTTGACATTTCTAAGTCATCTGAAAAAAGTGGGAATTAATTTGTTTTTGCAGAGTACTAATTTTAAAAATATTTGTGCTTTATTGTTAAGCTGTGGTAAGCAATAAGTACTTTTACATAGAATATTTGTAGTTTTATATAACATACTAAAAAAAAATTAGTCCCAACAGATGTAAATATATTATTTGAAAATAATATCAGATTTTTCTTTTTTTCCAGGTCTGATACATTATTTGATACAAATTTGATATATAGAAAAGTTAATATGTAAAAGAAAATATTTAGCAAAATTTTATTCATCCTTTTGGGCTTTCATTGTTAACATTAATTTTAATATAGCTGAACCTCAAGTTTTCCTTTGAATTATTATTGAAATAATTTATTAAACCAGAATTTTTTTTTTTTTTTTTTTTTTTTTGAGACAGAGTTGTGCTTTGTCACCCAGGCTGGAGTGTAGTGGTGTGAGTATGTTCCACTGCAACCTCAACCTTCTGGGCTCAAGTGATCCTTCAGCCTCAGCCTCCCAAGTAGCTGGGACTATAGGTGTATACCACTATGCCTGGCTAGTTTTTGTATTTTTTACTTTGCCATGTTCCTGAGGCTGGTCTCAAACTCCTGGGTTCAAGCAATCCTTCTGCCCCAGCCTCTCAAAGTGCTGGGATTACAGATGTGTACTACCACACCTGGCCTTTAACCAGATTATGAATGGTTTGGATGATTTATGGTTTGGACAAACCAACCATAAAAGCTGACTTTTTTCCTGAATCAAATACTGCTAATCACTCTAGTTATTGTATGTATTCAGTCATTTTTCCCCTATCATTTTTAGTAACTGTGTCCTATTCAAGAGTCTTTCTCTGCTAGTGGTTATCTTTGTGCATTCTTCCCGCATCCCTCTCTTAAGCTAAAGTCATGCTATTGTAACATGTTTTTAAAAGAAGGAATAAATGTTTTTTAAGAAATTATTGAATATCAGACATTTTGCTCAGCTTTTGTGTTATCTCTGTTATTTGCCACTGGTTCCTGTGTAATGAGAAATGTTAAACACATTCTTGTAGATGAGGGAACTGATGCACAATGATGTTATATAACTCCCTTTAAGGTAACCAAGCTAACAGGGACAGAGCCAATGTTCATTCAAACTTAGAACTCTTGACATTGTTTTTTCTACTGCATTATCATTGATTTAGCTCCTTTTGCTTATTTGAAGTGTGTAGCTCATAGAAACTATCTTAGGGTTTGAGAATCACTTTTATGTGATCACTACCTAAAAGCGTTTTTTTTTCCCCCCAGTTTTAAGTGTAATTTATTTACATGAAGTGCTTCCTACAGTGTGGCACTAAAGAAAACTCAAATAAGGCCTACACAATTAAAACAAATTTAACAACTTTTTTGTTACGGCATTTTTTCAGACATAGAGATTGTAGTATTTGAGATCCTAAGAATCCATCACCTAGTTAGTGTTTTAACATGAATGTCTAATTCACGGCCAATCTTATTTCATCTGTACTTCCTCCATATCCCCATTCTTATAAATTATTTTTATTTAAAAGAAACATTTTTAACTTTTTATTTTTAAAATATGAAAATTAATTATTTAAAATGTTACTTTTATAAAAGTGTTAATATTCAGTATTTAAAAGATAATTTTAAAAATAACCACAATATAATTTTCCTACCTAAAAAATTTTAATAAGAGTTTCTTAGCAAATATCCAAGTCATTTTCATATTTCTCTGATAGTTTTCTAAATCTGTATGTATGTGTTTAGTGACTTGTTTGAATTAGGATTCAAATAAGATTTATACAATCACTATTAATCAGTATGTCTCTTAAGCCTTTTTAAATCTATGGGCTACATTTCATTTTTCTTATCTTTCTTCTTGCAATTTTTGGTTGAAGAAATAGAATGTTTTTCCATTAGGCTTCCCAGAGTGTGAATGTTCCTGATGATATCGCTATTATTTTGTTTAACTTGTTTTTCTATCCTTTAACTTTTCTGTAAATTAGTACTTAGATCTAGAGACTTGATTGTATTCAGCTTTGATTCTTTTTTGTTGTTGTTGTTTTTTAATGGGACTACTTCATAGGTGGTATGTGTATACTTTCTTCAGGAGGTAATAAGTATATAGTTGTCTCTCTGAGACATTATTAGCCATTGGTGAGCATTGCTTAGATCCATTAATTCATTAGGGATTACAAAGAGGTGATACTCTTAAGTTCTTTTATTCCTTCGTTTATTCCTTTCTTGAATATCTATAAAGAGAAACTTCCCCTCAACTATTTGCCTGTAAATTAAGTAGAAATCAATATAAGCATGGCAAGAAAGCCCGGGCATGGTGGCTCACGCCTGTAATCCCAGCACTTTGGGAGGCCAACGCGGGCGGATCATGACGTCAGGAGATCGAGACCATCCTGGCTAACACCGTGAAACCCCATGTCTACTAAAACATACAAAAAATTAGGCGTGGTAGTGGGCACCTGTAGTCCTAGCTACTCAGGAGGTTGAGGCAGGAGAATGGCATGAACCTGGGAGGCAGAGCTTCCAGTGAGCCGAGATTGTGACACTGCACTCCAGTCTGGGTGATAGAGCAAGACTCCGTCTCAAAAGAAAAGAATGGCAAGAAAATGTTTGTCTTTTTTTCCCCCTTTATCTGCCAGTTTCCAAGGTGATGAGGTAGTCCCTTAGCATCCTTCAAAGGTGATCAGTGAAGTGGTTTTTTGTTTGGTTTTGTTTTGAGACAGAGTCACGCTCTGTTACCCAGGCTGGAATGTAGTGGTGTGATTGTGGCTCACTGCAACTTTGAACTCCTGGGCTCAAGGGATCCTCTTGCCTTAGCCTTCCAAGTAGCTGGGACTACAGGCATGCACCACTATGCCCTGCTAATTTATTTTTTTATTTTTTGTAGAGATGGGGTCTTGCTTGTTGCCTAGGCTGATCTTGAAGTCTTGGCCTCAAGCAGTCCTCTCACTTTGGCCTCCCAAAGCCCTGGGATTACAGGCATAAGCCACTGTGCCTGGCCCTGTTTTTTTGTTTTTTATTTGAACATCATTTTGAACTTTTGGATTTGAATATATAAGATGGCCTTTACTTCATCGTGGTCATTATTCTCTTTGATGTAAAAATTGTTGGAAGATGCGACAGTTTGAGTATCTTTGATCAATAAGGTTAGCTCCTAAATCGTTTTGACATGACCACATTGCAGTCTCTGATAGTTTCCTTGCTTTCTCATATGGCAAGGTGTTCCGGGTTCGTCTTACACAGTTCCTGCTCCAGCCTTGGGATCAGTCATTTTTCTAAGAAGCCCTAATTTCATTTAGTAGTAAATGGTAGAGACCACGATCTAAGCTAGAGATGCTATTTATGCTTAGTCTACAACCATTGTCTCTAGGCTTTAGTTGATCAGGGCTGGGAAATATATATTTTTCTTATAGATTAAATATATCAAGAATTCATTGGTCACCTTCGAAGGATGCTAAGGGACCACCTCAGTACTTCCAATTCAGAACCACAAGCGTTTTTTTTTTGTTTTGTTTCGTTTTTGAGACAGAGTCTTGCTCTGTTGCCCAGGCTGGAGTGCAGTGGCATGATCTGAGCTCACTGTAACCTCCGCCTACCTGGCTCAAGCAATTCTCCCATCTCAGCCTCCCAAGTAGCTGGGACTACAGGCATGTGCCATCATGCCTGGCTAATTTTTTGTTTGTTTGTTTGTTTTGGTAGAGACAGGGTTTCACCATATTGCCCAGGCTGGTCTCATACTCTTGGGCTCAAGTGATCTGCGCGCCTCAGCCTCAGCCTCAGCCTCCCAAAGTGCAAGGGTTGCAGGTTTGAGCCACCATATCTGGCCACAACCACAAGATTTTTACTCAAGTTCAACAATCTTATATCTCACCTAAGATTGGGAGTTCAAGACCAGCCTGGCCAACATGGTGAAACCCCATCTCTACTAAAAATACAAAAATTAGCCAAGCGTGGTGGCATGTGCCTGTGATCCCACCTACTTGAGAGGCTCAGCCATGAGACTTGCCTGAACCCAGAAGGCAGAGGTTGCAGCTGCGTCATGCCATTGCACTCCAGCCTGAGTGACAGAGTGAGACTATCTCTCAAAAAAAAAAAACAACTCATATCTGTGTTTTCCCTTAACCATGCCCAAAATTTCTGTTCTCACGAAATAATTGCTCATTTGATTTATACCACAATATCCATAGAACTGTCTCTGAACACAAACCAAAAGTACCACCAATATGATTTCTGAAAGATGCTTAATATTTTTTGGTTTTGCAGCTCTTTTATTCTTTTGGCTGTATCTTACTAGTGATGTAAGGGCAAATTACTGTGTTTTAAAATCATTTGGTTTAGTTCTTTTTGGTATGACTCAAATTATTTTTATAAAGCATATTTAAAGGAAAACTATACTTAAAATGCATTTTGATATTTTCACATTTTGAATTCTTCAGTTTCACCAGATTGCAAAATTGGGCTATCTAATATAATTTTACAGTTCACAAAGTAAATGTATGCTTTTTTGTTTGCTAGGCGCTAATGTGCATGCTACAACAGCAACAGGAGACACAGCCTTAACCTATGCTTGTGAAAATGGACATACGGATGTTGCAGATGTTTTACTTCAAGCAGGGGCTGATTTAGTAAGATATTTTTAATTTCAAATATTTTTGCATGAATGTTAATATCCATTTATACTTAACATTTAGAAAACACTAAGATCAGTGGTTTGCATACTTTGTATACAGTAACTTAAAAAAAAAAAGCTTGGCTACCTGCTCTAGTTGTTGTATGTATTACATGTATTTGAAAATACTTAATGTTGAACAGGGCATACTGTTTCTTTTCCTAGTAAAACTGCTAGTTTGTTTCTTCCTTTCACTTCACCCGCATTTGACATTTCTGTGCTTTTTAAACTGCCCTCTGTTAGATATATCATAAATTCGATGATGTGTTCACAGAATAGAGTAACAAGTCAAGTCACTTTGAGTGATTTCTTATTATTATTTTAATTGACACATGATAATTGAACATATTAATGGGGTACAGAGCGATATTTCAATACATGTATATAATGTGTAATGATCAAATCAGAGTAATTAGTACATCCATTATCCTTTTGAATGATTTCTGTTGTTTCTCTGATTAGACATTTAAAAACAAAGCTACTGTTGTTAATCATGCTCCTAGTACATTCCTACAAATTCTGTTCTTTTTGTGTTTTCTGTTTTGGCTTTCCAAAATTTCAAATTAGGTGGCAGGTTCATATGTGTAATAATCTATATAAAAATAATATTCCATTTAAGTGTTCATGCCTCTTGCTGAAATGTGTGCTTTGCCTTTTATTTTGTGAGAGTGCTTTAAACCACTTTCTAGAGTTTTTCCCAGAATTCTCTGATATATTTCTTCAAAACCTATGTGTGACGTACATAGCTGTAAATGTTATAGAAAATTAGATTTCTTAGTTTTTCTTACTTAGAAAAAACTATGAAAGTATTGCCTTAAATCATCCAAGTAGATACCTGAGAACATTGTTGGAAAATAATTATTAACCAAAATAAATGTATGCTATGATTGTTATTTATTATCATTTCTACTAATACTAAATATTGTAATGAAAATGCTATCATTCATTCTTATTAATTAGGACTTTCCCTATCAGTTATAATTTCTGGGAGGTATGCTTTTTTGTCTGAGAATTGTGACAGCAATATATGTTAAGTACATCTGAGTCTTTTGACTTCTTTCTATATCTTTTTCCTTTAATAGAGTTACTTTGGGTCATCTATAAAAATTAGGAATTGAAGTTCTTCATTCAAAATAAAGAAATAGAGTAGAACTTAAAAACTTATGTAATATAAACAAAATTTAATACTCTTATCCTCTAAATTCTTACCTGGATTCTCTCTTCCTTGTATTTTCTACGACAAAGTCACTCTCTTAACCTGTTGGGAGTTCTAAAAAATTAAATAGGGCTAGGTGCAGTGGCTCATACCTGTAATCTCAGCACTTTGGGACGCCGAGGCGGGTGGATCACCTGAGGTCAGGCGTTCAAGACCAGCCTGACTAACATAGTGAAACCCTATCTTTACTAAATACAAAAAGTCAGCTGGGTGTGGTGGCACGTAACTGTAATCCCAGCTACTTGGGAGGCTGAGGCAGAAGAATCACTTGACCCAGGAGGTGGAGGTTGTAGTGAGCCTAGATTGTGCCATTGCACTCCAGCCTGGGCAACAAGAGCAAAAATGCCATCTCAAAAAAATAAATAAATAAAATAAATAAATAAATAAATAAATAGGATAAAAGAGGAACTATCTGGTAAAAATATACTCTAATGTATAACAAAACCATACTGATTGTGACCAAGTTAAAAATCTCTTACATTTTTAAATATTTTATTTTTACCATCTTCTGGAATTAGAGTCTTTATTATTTAGTTCCTTAGAAGAACTACTTTAATTGAACAGATAGAACTATTTGAACTTACCATATTTACTTACATTCAAAATGTAAGATTAAAAATGGCTCAGATAGGCCGGGCGCAGTGGCTCATGCATGTAATCCCAGCACTTTGGGAGGCCGAGGCGGGCAGATCACCTGAGGTTAGGAATTTGAGACCAGCCTGGCCAGCATGGTGACACCCTGTTTCTACTAACAATACAAAATTTAGCCAGGCATGGTGGTGGGCCCCTGTAATCCCAGATGCTTGGGAGACTGAGGCAGGAGAATCACTTGTACTCAGGAGGCTTAGGTTGCAGTGAGCTGAGATCGTGCCATTGCACTCCAGCCAGGGCAACAAGAGTGAAACTCGATCTGGAAAAAAAAAAAAAAAGGCTCAGATAAATACATATCTTAATTATTCAATACAGAAGCAATGCCATTGTTCTGACATAATTATTCATTTTTTATCTTGCAATGTTTTTACATTCATATTTACATGAAATTATAGACACAATATATAATACAGTTGTTTTCTATTTTTTCACTGCGTGTTCTTGTGTTCTGTCATAATCTTTACCATACTGCTATATAGTCTCTATATTTATAACTCTTGCATCATATTCCATCAAGTTGATGAACCATACTCGTTCATTAATTATGGAACTTTTGCTTTTCATTTTTCACTATTACAAATACTGTTAGATTTAATAACTTTGTATGTGTAACTTTTTATCTTTTCTTATTTTGAATTTTTTATATATTGATTGTAAGTTTTAAAAATATATAGGCTCTTCCATGCTTTTGCTATCTATGGACTGATACCTTAATTTTAATATTATTTCTTTTCCTCATTATAAAAAGCAATACTGTTCTTCATATAAAATGTGGAAATGCTGGGCATGTAGTCCTAGCTACCAAGGAGGCAGAGGTGGGAGGATTGCATGAGCCCAGGAGTTAAAGGCTGCAGTGCACAGTGATCTTGCCTGTGAATAGCCATTGTATGCCAGCCTGGGCAACATAGTGAGACCCTTCTCTTAAAAAAATTTTTTAGGAGAAAAGAAAATGTGGAAAGTATGGGAAAGTATAATAATTTTTATATTTAACACCTGTGAATATTTGTGAGTAAAATTTGTGACAGTGAAAAAAATATAAAACCTATGAATAAATTTTATTTCAGGCTTTATTGTAGGCCAGAGGAAAGAAAAGTTCTAGTCAAAAATAGGGAAACCTCAGAGAGTAAAGCAGGCAGATTAGTCCCTGAGTCCTGGGAAAAAGTGACTGGTAATTCTTATTAACTTTATCTTACAAGGCAGTACCATCTTACTTATCCTTCATTCTTTGCTGCTGTCTTCTAACATGTGTTTTGGGCTGTAATAATTTCCTCCAGCAGTTGGCAGATAGGGGACTATCCATCCCCCATTGCATGCAGTGGAGATGTATTTCATTCCTGGCATCTCATAGATAATGTTCTCAGTTTAAGTGTACTAATTCTTTTTTTGCTTTTTTTTTCTGATGCAGAGTCTGGCTGTGTTGGCCAGGCTGGAGTGCAGTGGCACTATCTCAGCTCACTGCAACCTTCTCCTCCTGGGTTCAAGTGATTCTGCTGCCTTAGCCTCCCGAGTAGCTAGAATTAACAGGTGTGCGCCAAAATTCAACCTAGGCGACAGGGCAAGACTCCATCTCAAAAACAAAAGCAAAAACAAAAAAAAAATGTAGTTTATCACTGACTTTACTCCCTAACCATAAAGTAAGGTCTCTGACCTTTGTTGCTTTTTTTGGACTGTATTCTGCTGACTGAGTGAACTATATTGGGCATTTTCCGAAAATAGTTGAGCAATTGGAAACTAGGTAATTTAGACATGGATACATTAGTACTCTGTAGTTCTTCTTCCTGGAATTTATTTCCTTTTAAATGAGATTTGATATAGACCTCCCTTAATAGAAAGAAAAATATCTTAAGGATCAGTTTATTATCTATATTAAATCTTATAAATAGAAAACATAGACCAAGTCCTCTTTTATAAGGTTTTCTTTAAAAAATTTAAACAATATATTGTGTATCAAAAAAAAAAAAATATATTGTGTATCTAGACATTTCTGTGTATCCAAAATACATATATATAATATATGTGATATAACATCTTTCCGTGTTCCAGTAGATTTCCCGTTCTTTTTCACAGGTACTCAGTGTTCTGTATAATTTATTAACCATTTATCTACTCATAAACACCTGAATTAACAGTTTTTAAATATTATAAATGGTGCTGCAGTAAATATTGCTAGGCATATTTATGTATCTTTGCTACTTTTGTGAATATATATAATAGGGATACATTCCTAGAAGTGAAATTGCTGGTTATAGGGAAATGTTTGACTAAAATTTTATTGTTTTGGGAGGTCCACATCTGAAATTTTGATAACTATTGTCAAACTGTTCAAAAACGCTGAACCAGTGTACATCTCTGTTAACAGTTGAGCCCTCCTGACTCTCCCACATTCTGACAAACATAAACAGATTTCTTCTTTTTCCCCTCCTTTCTTCCCTCCCTTCTCCCCTCCCACCCTTCTTCCTTCTTCTTCCTTTTTTAAACAGTTTAATTTCCTAATTTCTGATCACAGCCCCTATGTGTGCATTATCTACAAAAATCTTCTTGCCTAGCGCAGTAGCTCAAGTCTGTAATCCCAGCTCTTTGGGAGGCCAAGGTGGGCAGATTGCTTGAGCCCAGGAGTTAAAACCAGCCTGGGCAGCATGGTGAAAACCCATCTCTACCAAAAAAAAAAAAAAATACAAAAATTAGCGGGGTGTGGTTGTGTGTGCCTGTAGTCCCAGCTACTCAGGTGGCTGAGGTGGATTGCTTGAGCCCAGGAAGCGGAGGTTGTAGTAAGCCGAGACTGCATCACTGCACTCCAGCCGGGGCAATAGACAGAGACCCTATCTCAAAAAACAAACAAACAAACAAAAAAAACTTACTGTGCTACAATTGGCCCTATTAATTGCTCCCAAAGCTTTGGTGAACTATAGAAAACACAAGAATAAAATTACTTTCTGACAGTATGTGAAGACACCTTTTACAAATAGATTTTTAAAAATCAAATATTTAGTCAGTATCTATTGACTTCATTCTGAAGGACAAGGAGAGTAATATATCTTCCACCATAGAATTTTCATGAGTTATTTAAGTGGATTCAGTTTGTACATTACTAGTCTGTCTTATTATATAGCTTCATGATTCCTGAATTCCTCAACTTGACTTATCTGTTGGCTGGCTAGTATTGGTATTTTGATTTGAATTTATTCTCCCCGCTCAAAAAGGAGGTAATAGGTACTTGCATATTTTAGAATACCATATGTTATATTTATAAATGAATGTAGCCGTGTATGAAATTATTGAATCACTTGTTCTTTCCCCTCAAAATTTTAAACCCACTATATTAGTGTCTTCTGGTACTGAATATTGCCAAAGCCTGCTAGACTATTCTCCATTATATGTAAGTGACTCCTTTTTCTGTCTGGATTATTATCATAAAATTCTTTCATTATACTTAAACATCTGTGATTTCATCAGGATGTATCTAGTGTTAATTAGTCTATATTAATTTTTCCTGGGAAACAGTGAATGTTTTCTGCCTGAAGATTTTCGTAAGTCATAGTCTTTAATAAGTTGTCATAGTGTTTTATTTTTAAAATTTTTATTTTTTTTTAGTGGTGACTGTGGGGTGATATTTTCTTTTTTTTAAAGGAAGATTTCTTTCTGCTGTGTTTTTGACTATTTATTTTTCTATTCTGTTAACATCCTTTAAGATATTTACCATCCATATGTATGGTCTCCCTGATCTCCCTTACTTGTATTATCTTTATGTCTAATACATTTCTTTGTCCTTTTCTTCTGCATTGTGTCTTAAGTCTGTCATCCAGGTCACTATTTTTTTCTGTATACTTGTTTCTGCTTTTTTTTTTTCTTAAAAGGGACAGGGTCTTGCTTTATCCCCGAGGCTGGAGTACAGTGGCATGATCACAGCTCACTACAGCCTTAACCTCTTAGTCTCAAGCAATCCTCCCACTTCAGCCTCCTGAGTAGTTGGAACTACAGGCGCACACTGCCACACCAGCTAATTTTTTATTTTTATTTTTTGTAGAGACGGGGTTTCGCCATGTTGCCCAGGCTAGTCCCGAACCCCTGGGCTCAGGCGATCTACCCACCTTGGCTTCCCAAGTTACTGGGATTACAGGTGTGAGCCACCATGACTGACCTGTTTCTACTTCTAAATGTGGTTTTCATGGCTTCACTGTTACTGCTCCCTTATCTGCAAAGCTTGGGACCAAAAGTGTTTTGGATATATTTTTTTTTTGATTTTGGAATATTTGCAGAATATATATCCATTGAGCATCCCTAATCTGGAAATCCAAAATCTGAAATGCTCCATGAGCATTTCTTTTGAGTGTCATGTCAGTACTCAAGAAGTTTCAGATTTTGGAGCATTTCAGATTTCAGGTTTTTAGATTAGTGATGCTCAGTCTGTATTTAGTTTCTTCTATTCTTCCAACTCACTTTCCAATCTTTTGTTATATAACTTTGTTCAACTATTTAAGTAAATATTCCCTGTTCTCTTTAATTTATTTGAAGGTAATGGGGAATATTTGACTAAAATTTTATTGTTTGTTTTGTAGGAACTTCTTGATAGGTTCCATGTTGGATACTCTGTGCTTATTATTCGTATTTTAATGGGACTTGCTATTTATTGAAATATGGGGTAGGGTAGCAGGGAAGAGGAAGTGAGCCTTAACAGCTTCTTAAAATCATATAGTTGTCTCAGGATACTGTCGTGCTGAATCTATACCATAAGTGCACGCACTTTCTTAGGGTAAGCACATCACGTAGGTAGGAAATTGGAGTGACAGAGTGAAGTCTTCTCTAGGCCACATTTCTTTTATTTGGAGATTTAGTTGACTCCGGTCAATGACTGAAAAGCTTATTGTGGTTTCCTAAGTTGTATCCCTGTCTCACCTTTAGATAGTTTATCTCAGTTAAGAGTCTATATCTAGAGAAAATACAAACATTCCATTTCTCGAGTTCTTTGAAGGTTCTTGTTTTAGTTGAAAAGTGTAAGCCCTAAGTACTTTTATAATGAGGGGAAAAACTATGTAACTATTTATCTTACAGTATTTTCCTCCATCCTCCCAACTTCTGATATGCCCAAATCTCTTGATTTCATTATTTTCTTTGGTTAGATGTTTTTAAATGTTGCTCTGTTTTTGTGGCTTTAGTTGTATTTTGAGACAGAGGCATGAATTTAAATAATTTTGCAGAAATATTTCTACATATATTAAGGTTTATATTGAAGTTTTATTGGTAAAAAACCGTAATAACACCCCCTTAAAAAATTTATACTCTGCTCCTGACATTACAGTCTCTACAGATGAGAATCTTTTTAGTTGAAGATCCTGAGTTAACAAAGCCCAGCATCTGAAGTATCGGTCACAAGGTCTTCATGGCCAAATGTGATTTTCGTTTTTGGAATAAGATCCGTGAGTTCTTCTTTTTCCTTTCGCAGGACAAGCAGGAGGACATGAAGACTATTTTGGAGGGCATAGATCCGGCCAAGCATCAGGTGAGGGTGGCCTTTGATGCTTGTAAGCTACTACGTAAAGAATAGATGTTGTAGGTAACCAGAACTCTGGATATCTGAATTCCAGCCAAGAAGTTCCAGGACCCTGCTGGGTGACAAAGGAAATCCTCTTCAATTGAAAAAGATTATGAAGTCCCAATAAAAAGAGATTTGCATTACTGGTAGTTTGTTTCCTTAGTCTTCTTTCTCAGTGATATTCCTAAAAAAATCTCTTAGGCGAAAATAGATTTTCTTTTTCAGATAGTTCTTGTACATTCTCCTTTATTGGGAGAGTTAGTATACTACGGAGAGAAAGTCTCAGTAATAAAGTCCTTTGCATTCAACTTTGTTTATCAAAAATCTGAAACTCAGAGTGATATTAATACATTGGATTGTTTTAAAAATAATCCTCAAATAAACAATTAGTTTAGCAAAACATTTACTATATAGTTTATGCCCTAATTTCTGTAAACTAGAAGTTTAAAATTTTCTTCTTAAAATTGTCTCTTATTATTCTGAAATTGGTTTTTAAGGTGAATATTTTTTCATAAGAAATATTTCTTTTGAAAAAATGTGTGAATTTGTGCCCAGTGGTTTTAAAAGTCAAATAAATTTAATATCCATTATAATCCAAAGAAATTTATTTAAAATCAGGAGTAGGTTTTAATTTTAAAATTAGGAATGAATTGTGATTAGATCACAAATAACTTAGGCCATCTAAGTTTCTTTTTTTTTTTTTTGTTTTTTGGAGACAGTCTTGCCCATGTTTGCGCGCCGCGGGGGGGGCTGGGTGCCAATGCACACGATCTTGCGCTCACTGCCGCAGCCTCTTTTGCTCCCAGTTCAACGTGGATTTATCCTGCCCCAGCTCGGCGAGTTAGCTGGGGTTACAGGTGCCCGCCACACACGACCACCTAATTTGTTTGTAGTTCTTTGAGTAGGAGACAGGTAGCTATCACGACGATGCTTGGCGCAGGCTCGGGTCTCGAACTCTTGGACCTCGGGTGGAGATGCGTACGACGATGTCGCAGTCGGCCTCCTAAAAAGCAGTGCGTGGGGATTACAGCATGAGTCACTGGCTGCCCGGCCGTAAGGTTTCGTGTAATTCGAAACCTCCTCTTAATATGATTGCTTATTAGCGCTGTCTTCATCATTGCTTGTTAATGAGAAAGCCTGTTTTATTTATTCTGTTTAGATTTTTTTTTATTTCTTTTTTTTTTTTTTTTTTTTTTTTTTTTGAGACAGGGTCTCACTGTGTTGGAATGCAGTGGCGTGCTCTCGGCTCACTGCAACCTTCCCATCCCAGGCTCAAGTGATCTTCCTGCCTCACCCTCCCGAGTAGCTGGGACTAGAGGCGTGCGCCACCATGCCCAACTAATTTTTTTTATTTTTATAGAGATGAGGTCTCACTGTACTGTCCAGGCTGGGTATATTTATTCTGTTTTGAAGTAAGTAAGTTTATTTCACAAAATGTGGTGTGAACATGTGAGCTTCTACTCAGTTTGTGTGATATTGCAGGCTCCTATCAAGAATGTAAAGCTGAGTGTTATTTCAGATCAAAGTAATTCTTTTTCCCTGGATTTGTTAGAGGAAATGTAATTGTAAACCTTTCTCTCTAGTTGCAAGTCTCAAAACTTAGGATTTTTTTTTAAAATGAGTTTTGCAGCCTCACATTTACAGGTTCAGATTCCATAGATCTGAAATGGTGGGGTCTGCATTTGTACTAATATCTCAGGAGATTCTGATGACAAGTTCTCCATATCTTACACTTTGAGACATTGGTAGAGGCCATACAGATTATTCTGCATCGTTGTTGAGTTCTTTACTTTTTCCATCTTTGCTTTATAATCAATCATTTTTCTTCCATCCAAATGGAATAAACTTGGTTTTTCTCTCTGTTACTTGTGATTTTTAGAAAATGTGTGCTAAACACAAGCCTTAGGACCAGTGCCTCTTTTTGCCATATCAGTTCTCCTGAGGGATATGAATCCAATCAGTAATAGTAGATCACTAGTAATGATTAATATACAGTGGTGGGTTGAAAGAACATACTCCCCATGGAAGAATGTTGGAATCCTCTAGTACATACAGTATCAAACAGTCTCCCTCCCTTTCTCTGTGATTTTGGTCTTTCTCCTTAGAGAATGTCCTCCCTCCAACTCCAAAAGACATTGCCTCTGTGGTATAGTTACAATCCTTAAATATGTCTTGGGTGCCCTGTAGCTGTGATTTTTTTTTAAGGGAAATTAACTTATTTTAAATAAAATAAACTTAATTTAAAATAAAATTTTGTTATCTAAAGCCAAATAGAAAAAAAATTCCACATTTTTTCTTATAGTGCTCATTCATCAGAACCAATTTTTTTTTGTGTGTGTGTGGAGATGGTCTTACTTTGTCGCTCAATATAGAGTACAATAGTGTGATTATAGCTCACTGCAGCTCTGAACTCCTGGGCTCATGGCATCCCCCTGCCTCAGCCTCCTGAGTAGCTAGGACTCCAGGTATGCACCACAATGCCTGGCTAATTTTTAAATTTTTTTCAGAGACAAAGTCTTGCTATCTTGCCCAGACTTGTAGTGTATTTTTTATGGATATATTTTTAGGGAGCTTATGAGCTCTAGTAATCCACTTATCAATGCATTTCAACTGTTAGTAATGACCTTACCTTAATAAACTTTAAATGTGACCTTACCTTCCACTTTTTAACTTTTTTATTAAGGAATAGCAGATAGACATTTTTTTTTTTTGAGACGGAGTCTCTCACTGTTGCCTAGGCTGGAGTGCAGTGGCACAATCTCAGCTCACTGCAAGCTCTGCCTCCCGGGTTCACACCATTCTCTTGCCTCAGCCTCCCGAGTAGCTGGGACTACAGGCACCCGCCACCACGCCCGGCTAATTTTTTGTATTTTTAGTAGAGACGGGGTTTCACCATTTTAGCCAGGATGTTCTCCATCTCCTGACCTTGTGATCCGCCTGCCTCGGCCCACCACAGTGCTGGGATTACAGGCGTGAGCCACCGAACCCGGCCATATATACATATTTTTAACTTTACTACTTAAAACTAGGAAACTTTTGTCAATTTCTTAAAAATCTAAAACTACCTATGGAATACACAAAACTCCTAATACATTTCTTTTAAAGCCAAGTTCTCTCTTTCTATATTACTGTGTATTGAATGAGTTCTTTTCAGCTCTCTCCAGCTTGTTTAAATATAAGTACAAATGACTTACAGTCAAGAAGGTAAAGTCATTATTAGTATATAGAAAAATGAATCTAAAAATATGTAGTTGTGCCCCAAAACAACAAGTTTAAAGATCTCCATGGACTAGAAATGAAGCATGGATCCACAGTTTAAGCTATAGTTCCCAAGGAGAATTAAGGGCTAAAAAAATACACAATGGGGGCTGAGATTTCAGCATGTACAGAGGAATAGGGAGTGAATGCATTTCACATGTAGTACATCAGTAGATCTAGTCTACTTGAATAAAGCAAGGAACTGGGATCTTATTGCCCTACCTGTGAACCAAAATGGATTAAAAAAAACTTGGAGCAACTATCTAGGGTTATGGTTAGAAATTAGCAAATTGTCACATCCAGGTTATATGTAAAAAAACAAACGCAAAAAAACTACAGAAAAAAGGCCAGGGGGAAGAAATTAGCAAATTGTCATTAGGAGAGGGAAGAAGCAGAGACAACCATGTGACTAAAAACTTGGAGGACAACATTCTTGATTTAGGAAACAGAAGTGAAATACCCCTATGAGACAAGAACCTTAGGTGTCCAGCAAAATATCTACTTCTGAAATGAACTCCAAGAGCCAGACTGAGGCAACTTCCAAAACATCTGATAAGAAGGAGTACATCTGTGGATGGAAAAGAAACTAAAACAAAACACCTCCCATCAAAATGAGTTTCCTCAAATTAAAAAATTATAAAGCTGGAGAGCAAATCTTTATCAAGAAAGATAGTCAAAATGTAAACAAACAAAAAGCAAATTATAATACACTCAAGGAAATTGAAATAAACTTTAATCTTGAGAATTTTAAACATGTTTATTTTAAACTATGATCAGTAACCATAAAACAATGTGAGGTAATAAAGCAAAAGCTGATAATTACGTATTAAGAACAGCTGTATATAAAATAAAACAAAGTAAAAGTTTTGGGGGGTAACCTCAATATATAGGGTAAGACAGCATATTAGACACAGTTGAATACATTAGTGAATAAATGAAGGATAAAACAAGAAATAATACAATAAAATATATAATAAAATATAATAAAGATAGAAAATATGAAAAAGAATTTGAGAGCAAGAGAATAGATTAGAAGCTCCACCATGTATCTACTGGAAGTTCCTGAAGGAGAGGATAGAAATGGAGGGGAGAGGAAATGTTTGAAGAGAGTAGTGGAGAATTTTCTAGCATTGTAGCTAGACATGAATCTTTGACTGAAGAATCATATCCATCACTAAGCAGAACAGTGAAACTGTGGAACTTTAAGGATAATGAAAAATGTCTTAAAAGCTATCAGAGGAAAAAAACACATTACCTACAAAAGAACAACCATCAAAGTTTTGACATTCTCATCAGCAATAATAAATTACAGAAGATGATGGGAAGTAATATCCTCAAAATGCCAAGATAAAATAATACAATACAGAATTCTGTACTTACGTGCCATTCTAGAGAAGGAAAATAAACATATTTTCAAATCTACAAAGAATAAACGAGTTTACCATCATTAGACCCTTGTCAAAAGAACTACTAAAAGATACATACATCCATGAGAAGAAACAAGTGAGTCTTGGAGGAAGGCGTGGAATACAAGAAACTACGGTAAGCAAAGAAATTGATAAAACATATTATAAATACAAATGTTTGAGTTTAAAAACCTAAATTTTAATGTTTAAAACCAAAGTAGTACTAAAATTCTAGAAAACAATAGCAGGAAATTCAGAAGGATGTGTTAGAGAGTTTAAAAGCCACGCTAGAGTCTTTTGTTG